GAGCACCAAACCAGCGTGGCCAAGGGGCAGGAGGGGATCAGTGAGTGAGTGCTGAGGTTCGTGGAGGACACAGGCTCCAGGACACAGCTGATGGACACACCCAGACCAGCCCGTGGTGGGGACTGGGATTGTGTAAGAGCACCCTCTGTGCTGGCGTGAAGATGTTGTTGGAAACCATGGCCAGGGCCAGAGGCTGCAGCAGCCCCACAAAGCTGAGCCCATCCTCATGCCCCCCCACAGTTTGAGGATGAGATTCTGCGCAGGCTGGACAGTGAGGTGGAGGGCGGCCGTGGGGATGAGCAGTACAAGCAGCTTTTCAAGAGCATGTGAGTGTGCGGTGACGTCCCCACCTTCTCCCCAGGGCATGGACCTTTTGCTGTTACCATTCTCTGCCATCCCACTCCTCCTCACATCTGTGCCCTGACCTGGAGAATGCCTCTGGGGAGTGGGACCAGAGAGGAGGAAGGATGGTACCTGAGCACCATTATGTGCCCCCTGCACACCTCTGCTGCTCTGGCCAGCCTGCCGCTGCCTGCCCCCAGCAGTGCCCCTGCCCCAAGTGTTGTCCCTGCCCTTGGTGATGCTCCTGTCCCCAGTGATGCCTCAACCCCAGGAATTACCCTTGTTCTACCCCAAGAGTTACCCCTGACCCAGGAATTAGCCCTGCTCTGCTTTGGGACTTGTCCCTGCCCCAGGAACTACTCCATGCCCCACGTGATACCCCTGCCCCAGGTGATGCCTCTGCCATCCCCAGGCTTTACTCCTGCTCTGTTGTGCTCATCAGGTTCCCATGCAGGGTGATGGAGCTGTCAGGTCTCCCACCATCCTGGCCATGCCTGTGGGGGGTCTCACTGCAGACCAGGAGTTGATTTATGCCTCTTGTTGAGGGTCTTCTCTCTCCCAACTCCCAGTCCCTGGGAAGCCGAGCAGAGCAGTAGTGGGAGCACCGTGGAGCTGGGTGTGCAGTGGCACCCATGGTCCCCTCTCTTCCCCAGCCTGCTGAGCTGCTGCCAGAGACACTCTGAGATGGCCAAGCCCGGGACGGACTTTGTGGAGCTGGTGACTGCACTCCTGGAGCGGCTCCTGGACTACCGGGCTGTCATGAACGATGAGAACAAGACCTACAGCATGAGCTGCACCGTCAACCTCCTGGTGGGCACCTGTGCCCTGCCCCAGCTCCCTGAGGATGGCAGGGCTAAACCCCAAGTCCACCCAGCTCCCTGGGCTGGCAGGCTGTGGGAGGGGCTCACCTCCACTTTCCCACAGTCCCTGGGGCTGGCAGGGCTTGTCCCTGTGTCTCCCCAAGTCCCCTCAGTGCCCCTGGCACAGCATAGATGGGGAGCACCCACTGCCAGAGCCGGTGTCCCTTGGGAGTCGCTGTGCAGCTCCCTTGGGTAGCCCCTTCTCTGTGTGGGGACAGTCCTGGCAGCACCATGACCCACTGTGGGGGGCTGTGGGGGGCTGTGGCACCCCTGGGGCCACTCAAACAGCCTTGTCTGCTCTTCCCCAGAACTTCTACAAGGAGATCGACCGCCAGGCCATGTACATCAGGTGAGTGCAGCACCAGGAGACTGGCAGCACCTGGGGTGGGGAGTCCCGGGGCCCCGAGCTCCCCATGGGAACGTCAGAGCGGCCGGAGGGGCAGGGCTGCGCTGGCTGCCGGGCCCCACACGCGGTACCATCACTCCCCACACGACTCCATCGCTCCCAGGTACCTGTACAAGCTGAAGGACCTGCACATCAGCTACGAGAACTACACCGAGGGAGCCTACACGCTGCTGCTGCACGCCCGCCTGCTCACGGTGGGCCCGGAGGGGATGTGGGGGTGGGCGGCCGTGGTGACTTGGCGTGACAGGCCAAGTCCTGTCCCCTCTCCCCCATGCAGTGGTCAGAGGAGCCCAACACGGCCCCCGTGCCGGGCCTGCACGGCTGCCACCTGCACACCCAGC